CCAAATCAGAGCTGTAGTTGAAACACAATTCCCAATTCCCTTGAACTATTGCAATTTAAACTAATACTTGAAGGGCAGAATAGCTTTCTGGAAAGTTCCCCAAACCACACAGCTATAAAGAGTGTGTTGTTCTCAGGGATGGTATCCAAGTCCCACCCCTGGTTAGACCGGTTTCCAAGCCAGGAATCAGCTAGTATGTTAGTACAGGTCTTACCCTGGGGCCCAGGCTTCCCTTCTCAGATGGTTCTTGATTGTCAGGAGGGAATTGTAAAACCTAAACCACTCTGCAGCAGGGCTGGAGTCAAAGGAAAAATAAACACATCTCTTGCTTTATAGAGATTAGCAACTGCTTTTGAAATCATCTACTTTGAATTTCCAGATCTTCAAAAAAGGCACAAGATTTCCAGAAACATCAGACAATGACCACCAGGTCTAGCACTGCATCAGCTGGATGCGGGAGCCAGAACACTACCTTTGAGGTCCCTCCCAGGGACCACAAGGGCCTTCTCTCTCTTCCAGATGAAATACCATGTATGAAGGAAGAGAAAAGTATATGCTGTTTCATGATTCCAAATTTGTTACTGTGCTCCAAGGATGACACCAAGTGTAGAAATACATATTCATGTAAAAATAATCCACACTCCCAAATGCTTGGGGGGCAAAGTGAATGTACCACCAAAAAGACTAATATCGCCTTTTTCACAAAACCAACCCCACTTCCTCCTCTGAGCAAACTTCTAAAGTGACAGCAAACAGTATCTTTTAGGCTGCTGGCCTTATCCAGCCTGCCCACATCAAGTCTAAGCCATTGCTTGTGCTTTGCTAGTATATTCCTCTTTATCACCGCTCCATTCTCCCTGCTTCTTCTTTTCCAGGAGACATCTGGGATTCCCAAACAGCCAGCTTGGTCAGGGAAGTCCTTTAGACTGATCTCAAAGGAAGGAGGAGGAGGAGGAGGAAGAGGAGGAACATTATCCTAGAATATTTGTGTGGGCCCAATGTAATCACTGGATCTTTAAAAGTAAGTGGTTCGGGTAGGTAGGAGGAGGAAAAAGGGCTATAGGGCAAGGAAATGGATTCTCCCAGGAGCCTTCCAGAAAAGAGCACAACCTTGCTGACAGACTGTAACTCACTGAGACCTGTCAAGATTTCTAAGCTGTGGAGTTACAAGTGAGTAAATTTGTGTTGCTTCAGGCCACTAAGTTTGTGACAATTTATTATAGCTGCAATAAAACACTAATAATAGAAAGCTTTTGTTTTTCAACGCTGGGTGTGATGTTTTTGCTGTCAGATTTTTGTGGTATATTATTTGCTCTTGTGTTATTTCTGAAACATGTTTTTAACTCTAGTATTTCCTGAGCTCTGGCAGCTATTTTATTTCTTTCTGTTGCTTGCCCATCTCATTTAGAGACTAATACTGTTCTTTCTTAACTTCTACCACTTTTTTTTTTTTTTGGTCAGTTGTGGGGCTTGAACTCTGGGCTTGAGCACTGTCCCTGTGCTCTTCAGCTCAAGGCCAGTGCTCTACCACTTGAGCCACAGCGCCACTTCTGGTTTTCTGGTGGTTAATTGGAGATTAATTAATTGGAGTTTCATGAACTTTCCTGCCAGGGCTGGCTTTAAACTGTGACCCTCAGATCTTAGCCTTCTGAGTAGCTAGGATTACAGGCATGAGCCACTGGCATCCAGCTCTACCACTTCTTAAGTTCCTTCAGTATATTTTAAAAATTAGACTGAGGCTAATCTAGCTACTCAGGAGGCTGAGCTCTGAGAATCATTGTTTTGAAGCCAATCTGGGCAAGTTTGTGAGACTCTTATCTCCAACTAATCACCAAAAAGCCAAACATGGAGCTATGCTAGTCTTAAGAAAGAAAAAAAAAGCTCAGAGTGCAGAAGTCCTGAGTTCAGGCCCTAGTACAACCCCTCTTTCCCCCCACCCCATTATATTGTTGCCATCTTTTCAGAGACTATAAAATGTAATGTTTAACTGAGATGGATTAGCCTGCCATTTTCCCAAGTTCTGTGTGTGTGTGTGTGTGTGTGTGTGTGTGTACACAAGTACCAGGGCTCAAACTCAGGGCCTTGCACTCAGTTACCTAGCTTATTACTAGCATTCTCCTACTTGAGCCACACTTCCAGTTTGGCACTTTGCTGGTTAGAGTTTCGTGGACTTTTCTTGCCTAGGCTGGCTTCAATCCATGATACTCCAGGTCTCAGCCTCCAAAGCAGACAAGCATGTCATTGGTGCCAGCTCCAGATTTCCTAAAGGTAAGAAGGGTTCTAGAGTTCCCTCCTTCCAAGACATTAGTGTTAGGCCACTTGAATGTCACTAGCTTGCACATCTGTCTCCTTTGGTGTCTCCTTGCATTTTGGCCTTCCCTTGCCCAGGTACTGTTTCCAGCCTTGTCATTACAGATCTGGGTCTTCTCACTGGCCATTTCTCAGAACACAATGTGAGCAAAAGCCCACCCCAGCACCCTCACACTTCCTACAGGACCCCACTACTACCCACCAGTTGCCTCTCCCAATTGTGATTGTGGATCTCCATGCTACCCTCCTTCTGGCTGAGCTCATGGTGGCAAATTACCGGCCCCCACCTTCTCTCTGCTCACTCACTCCCCTAAAGCGAGTGCTTCTCAGGGCAGCTAATGCTTTTAACCCAGTATTCAAGTTCTAGATTCAGATAATGGGTCACCGTTTTTGGTGAATAGTTTTATTCTGTAATACTTTCTTTCCTCTGTGAATTTAATTAGATTAAGAACTACCCACAATTCTACCCCTCTGCCTCTTCGGCTCTGGATTTCTTTTTTTTTTTTTTTTTTTTAGATTGCATTTCTTTATTATATACTCGATCTATTTGTTTGATGTGCAAAAAGTATCCGTGATACTCACATTAAATTAGAATTTTATATCTGCCCCTAGTAAATGTATACATGCTATAAGAAAAACCAAAGATCCTTTTCAGATCAGTGGTCTCTACATACTCCATAACGAGGCTAATTCACCATTAAACCATGTCTTTTAAAGACACAAGTTCTTTGGGCTGGGCAGAGTGGCTCATACCTGTATTCTCATGAGAGGCAGAGAAAGTGGGATGACAGTTTGAGTACGGGCTGGGCAAAAAGGAGACTATATTTAAAAGAGCAATCTGGGCATGACAGCAAATGCCTGTAATCCCAGCTGCATAGAAGGCAGAGGTAGGAGAACAAAGGCCTTATGTGAGCATTTACAGGCCAATGGTAGAACGCCTGCCTAGCAAGTGTGAAGCTTCAGGTCAAACCTTAATACAAAACAAAGAGAAAGATGGTGCCCGTGGCTCACGTCCGTAATCCCAGCTATGCAGAAGACTGAGATCTGAGGATTGCAGTTCAAAGCCTGCCCAGGCAGCAAAGTCCATGAAACTCTTCTCTCCAACTAATCAGCAAAAAGCTGGAAATGGAGCTGTGGCTTAAGTGGTACAGTGTCAAGCCCCGGAACCAGCACAAAAACAAACAACAAAAACCCCACAAATTCTTTCACTCTGAGTCAGGAGCCAGAAAGGAAAATATTTGCCCAGAACTCTGCTATTAAGTGGTAACAGGAAGGATTTCTGGATTTCTTTTTAATTTTAAAATTTTCATTATAGTTTCTATTTTCATTATAATTCTCAAGACAGTACATCTACTCTTTGGTAACAACTACATTCAAAATTTTAATGACTGAATACAGGTAGCTTTGTTGTTATTTTGCTTGGCCTAGGGCTTGAAGTTGGCCTGGGTGCTGTCCCCTGAGCTCCTTCCTTTTGCTCAAGGCTAGTGCTCTACCACTTGAACCATAGCTCTACTTCTGGCTTTTCATGTGATTAATTGGATAAGTCTCACACAGACTTTCCTGCCCAGGATGGCTTCAAAGTACAATCCTCAGACCTCAACCTCCAGAACAGGTGTAAGTTACTGGTGCCAGGCTGTACTCTTGCTAAACAGGAGCAAGGCCTCCTGCCCATAAGCATTTCTTTCTTCTTGTTGTTTGTGGGGCTTGAACTCAAGACATAGGAGCTGTCCCTGATTTCTTTTGTGCTACCATTTTGAGTCACAGTGCCACTTCCAGTTTTCTGGTGGTTAATTGGAAAGAAGAGTCTCCTGGCTTTTCCTGCCTGGGCTGACTTTGAACCGTGGATCATCACATCTCAGCCTCCTGAGTAGTTGGGATTATAGGTCCCACCAGCAAGCCACCAGTGGCTGGCTAGCCTGTCTTTCTTGCTGAGGTCATATCACCATGTGGTCAGGAGGTCTTCTGGTGGCTCTCTTCCAGCAGTGACTCCTGGACCCTGGCTGCTTCCACCATATGTCTGTTTATAGCTACATAAGGACAAGAGAGCGGTCAATCATAGCCAAAAGTTTTACTGCCAGTCTTGGAAATGCCATGTATCACTTGTCTCTAGGTCTGTTTTGCAAGAAACCAGCCATGTGGCCCCATGCTAACTGTAAGTGAGGCTCAGGACAGAAGAGCACTGTGAATCTCTGCCTCAACTCTGCAGAGCTACTCAAGCAACCTGATGACAGCAAGCAGACAGTAACCCCTATGAGGGGCCTTTGTCTTTACATAGCTGTAAAGGGATTTACAATATAATTAAACCAAGTAACATGTCACCATTGTTTTTCTTTAGTAAGTTTTTTTTTGTATTTTTATTTTTTGTCAGTTGTGGGGCTTGAACTCTGGGCCTGGGTGCTGTCCCTGAGTTCTTCAGTTCAAGAAAAGCCACAGCACCACTTGCAGTTTTCTGGTGGTTAATTGGAGTTAAGAGTCTCACAGATTTTCCTGCCTAGGCTGACTCTGAACTGCAATCCTCAGATCTCAGCTTCCTAAGTAGCTAGGATTATAGGTGTGAGCCAGTTAGTTAAAATGTTTTTTAATTGGGTTGAGGTGTGTGTGGTTTAGTGATGGAGTTCCTACCTAGCATGTACAAGGCTCTGCCTACAATCTCTAGTAACACACACACACACACACACACACACACACACACACACACACACATATTGTAAATCAATCTTTTTCAAATCTAAAAATCCATTTCTCCAAAGATGTCCATTGCTGGCAAATTTGGGGTGTTTAAGGCAGCATGTAATTAAATAAAATTAAAATGTCTCCAATTGAAAAAGTACTAGTTAAATATACCTTTTGGAATTACAAAGAGTTAAACTATTCTATTGACATGAGAAAACGTGGTCTGCCATCATTTATAAACTTAATAAACAAATATTTTAAATGTTAAGTACACATATGCAGAAAAAATCTAGCCTCAAAACAATGATTTTTATTACCTTTTTGTCTACCATGTTTGACAATATAAATATACTCATTGAAGAAGCCACAGTATTTAAATAAGAATTAAGTTCATAGAAATTTACAAAACATAGCTAATGTACTCTGACTTATCATCTTAACTTAAAAAATTTCAACAGTACCATTCTAATATGGTCAGACATTTAAAAATATTTTCACACAATTTTAATTTTAGCATAGAAAATGGCAATTTACTAGGTTTTCTATTATAAAAAGTTATTGTAATTCTCAAAATACTGAAATTTTTTTAAGTGAAAGTCAGACCCACATCATAGCAACTCATCTTTTCGAATAGATCTTCAAAAGGCACAGTTTAATTACTAGTATTTACCTAAGGATAGTAGTTTGAGTTTTGATTTTCCAGATCATTGTCCATTATCTCAAAATAGAGCTAATGAACGGTGAGAGGAGGTATAAGTAGTTACTCCTGACTCCCCTCCGGATGGCAGTGTCCTGGGTCACCTGCCCAGGAGGAAGAGATGCCAGCTCATTCCCACACATAACTTACCCACCCTGCCGATACTTTCATACAAAAGTAATTCATTAAAATAATGAATCATCGACACTAAGCTTAAAACACAAAAGGCCAAGACTACCCATGGCCCAGTTAGGCGGATCTAAGTCTGAAGAAGAGATCAAAGCTTTTCTTCTTTCCAGGCTCCTATCCATTTCAATCACTGGGTATTAAACAGTGTTAGTCCCAATTCCCAGAATGTGAGGCAAACTCATATTCAAATTATACTAAAAGGTTTCAATATAAAATACAAATGATTCGGTGGCTACTGCTGTCAGGTTCTCCTTTAATTGGAAATAATAATCTAAAACTGAGTCTAATTATAGCATCACCTATAATTTCAAGTAGTATTATTTTGAAACAATTCATGACCTATTAACCCCAGAATGAAACTCAACATATACTTTGTGGTATAGTTTACTTTTCAGTGAAGTTTATACTAACTGAAGTACTAAACTGAACAACACTCTGAAATACTAATCAATCAATGACTTGATCTTATTGAAGATACAGTCACACGAAAAAGAAATTTTAAGGATATTTCAAAATCTCAAATATTGGAGATCTGCTATCTTAATTTATATTACTCCCCTCAAGTCTCTGTTGAATGTTCTGTTGTTGTTTTTAAAGAAGGGGAATATCTTTTTCTTCTCCATACTAAATGAATTCACTAAAAGCATTCTAAAATTCAAAAGAAGAAAATGGTCTATCATTTATCCAAAATAAGCCTCTATATAACTATGTCAAGGACACTAATTCCAGTTCTAAAATAGCAGCATTAGGATGAAGGCAGCATTCCTTTGTTCTGTTTAGCTACTGGCTTCTATGTTTTCCTAGAAGGCTAAGGTTTGGCTCTTCTCACCATCCTGCAGGACACCTTATTTTCCACATTCAACCAGCTCACATGAATGTTCTTCTCCATGTTTAAAAAGTATTCAAGGTCAACAGGTATGTTTTTCTCCTTGGAATTCTAGAATAATTACAGTCAGGCTCATATGTATAAACCATGGAATTACCTTTCAAACAAACAACAACATATGATACAAATTTTCTATAAAAATACAATTACATGTCACTTCTTCCCTGAAATAGAAATTTAATATTTGGACAAAAACTGTAAACTTGATTATATTAAAAATATATAACCTTGGAAAGATTTGGACTTTTTTGAGGTTTCTGGCAACTGGTGGTCTTACCAGCAGGTTTACATTACTGTGATGCTTTTACATCACAATGATGCCTACAGTTGTCCTCTTACATCCACTACCAGGAGGAAAAAAATGGCTTCCTGCAATGGACAGTCTGTGTGAAGGAGCTGCTCAGGTGGACAATCCGACCTTGGCCTCCACCTTGGCTGCGTTCCACGATCACACAAGGCATCTGGACAAGCTGGACAGGACTCTTCCCATCTCGCAACGCCTGAGTAAGATTTAAGATCTGAGGAGAAGAGAAATTTTCCTCAATTTAAAGAAAACAAAACAAAACCCTCACTTCAATGATATTTTAACCATTTATTAATAAAGTTTTTACTTTATCCATTTATACACAATAGAGGTTGTGATAGGGAGTAAGTAGTATAAATATGTACTATATGTGAGTATGTACATGCACAAATGGAATAAAATAATTGATAACTATAAAATATACTAGAATGCACCTATGACCAAAAGCAATGAATTTAGAGACTAAATGGAAAGTGAAAGGTTCTACGCATTTGATGTAGAACTTAAATATTTGCCTAGTCTCCTCATTTAACAATCAAATGTATTACATACCTACTACAGCCTCTGCTTATTTCTAAGTGCTAGAGATGTGACATTGAAAAACAAATTCAGTGATTCTTTTTATGGCAGAACCAATGCTTTAACTCGGGGCTTCATACTCTGATCTCTTGTCATTTGAACCAGGCCAACATTTGCTGGCTAGATGAAGACAAATGTCTCACAGATCATCTCCCAGGATGCCTTTGAATCAGATTATCAGAACTCAACCTTTGAATTACAGGGCATGAGCCACTGGCACCCAGCTAGAGCTTATTCTTTTATTTCTTTGTCTCTCTGTCTCTCTCTCTTTTGCCAGTCCTGTGGCTTGAACTCAGGGCATGGACACTGTCCCTGAGCTTCTTTTGCTCAAGGCTACAACTCTACAATTTGAGCCACAGCACCATCTCCAATTTTTCTGTTTACGTGGTACTAAGGAATCAAACACAGGGCTTCATGCATGCTAGGCAAGCACTCTACAACTAAGCCACATCTCAGCCCCATAAAGCTTATTCTTAAATTAGAAAAACAAAACTATGATAGTAAAGTACATTATATTTCACATTCAAAGACACTTTAAATTTCTGCTTTTGAGAATACAAGTAAGGTTATGAAACACATTCTACTCTGTTCAGACAGAATTTATAATTCATTTATCTTTTTTCTTGCATAGTGGGAAAAATTCTCTTTATTATACATTTTAAACATATGAATACCTCAGTTAAGTATTTGAAAATGATCTAGTATATACATGCTGTGGATTTTATTGGTTCTGACAGATTAATAGTACTAAGCAGCAAAAGTTTTCACATAAAGCCAGAGTAACAGGTAAGAGTAATAATACTCTGAATAGCAGAAATTTGATGAATTATATCCTAGATTTCAAACATTCAACATTATCAAGCCATTGCAAGCAACAGTAATTAGATATTGTTTATGGTTTATGATAGGTTTTCCTAAAAATTCTTTGGGATGACTACATCTCAGTAACAAGAAAAAAAATGACATTTAATTTTTTTATACTATGAACATAAAATATGGACCAGCATGGCTAAGGAATGAAATCTTCTGGTTAGTTTCCTCCTTCAGTTAAAAGAATTTGATTCTAAAGTTGTTAGTCTGAATATATCTGAGTAACATTTTATAATATTTTTCTGACTCTAAAAACTAATACATTGCCAGGTACTGGTGGCTCACACCTGTAGTGCTAGCTATTCAGGAGGCTGAGAACTGAGGAAAACAGTTCAAAGCCAGCCTGGGTAGGAAAGTCTGGGCAGGAAAGACACTCATCTCTAATCAACTGCCCCCCTCGTGGACTCTCCCCACTCCTGCAAGAAAACTGGAAGTGGCACTGTGGTTCAAGTGGTAGAGCACTAGCCTTAAGCTGAAGAGCTGAGAGAGAGTGCCCAGGTCCAGAGTTCAAACCTCATCACTGACAATAAAACAACAAAAACAATACATGGTTGTTTGCACAGAATTCCAAAGACAGAAAGGTACAAGAAAGTGAATCCGTCTATTAGACTATCAATTTCAAATAGTTATAAAATAACAAAAAACATTCAACTCTAATTTAGCCTGATTGTAAACATTTCTCTGGACTTTGAAGTCACCCAATAATCTAGCATTCATGTAAAGAAACATTGGTGGAGTGAGCAGGCACTGTACTGGTGAGAAAAGAAGCTGAAAACCCACATGAGCTCTGAAAAAAAAACAAACCAAAACTCAGCTAGAAACAACAGTCACAGGAGCAAGTACCCATAATGCAGTAATTTGACCCCTTCCCCCAACAACAATTATACCTCTTCTCCCAACAACCCTCATATTGATTTACAAATTTACAAATGGATATACAAATTTCTTAGCATATGCTTAATCTAGAAAAGTATTATTTTCTTTTTCTTTTTTTTTTCCCGGTCATGGGGCCTGAACTCTGGGCCTGGGCGCTGTCCCTCAGCTCTTCAGCTCAAGGCTAGTGCTCTACCATTGGAGCCACAGCGCCACTTCCGGCTTTTTCTGTTTATGTGGTGCTGAGGAATCGAACCCAGGGCCTCATGCTTGCAAGACATGCACTCTACCGCTGAGCTACCTTCCCAGCCCCTAGAAAAGTATTATTTTAAAAAACAGGATGAAGCCAGGCAGCTCATGTCTATAATCCTGATCACAGTTCAAAGCTAGCTTGGGGCAGGAAAGTCCATGACACTCTTATCTCTAATTAATCACCAGAGTGAATACTGGAAGTGGCTCAAGTGGTAGAACGCTAGAGCTCAGGGACAGTGCCCAGGCCCAGAGTTCAAGCCCCACAACCAACCAAAAAATAAAACAAGATGAAACAAACAGTGCAGACAAGATGAAATAACAAAATTCTCCACAGATGCCACACTAGATAGCTTGACAGGAATGCCTTAGTTATGGCAAAAGCAGATAGATGACTTAAAACCATGGATTTCTATATACACTGTATTTCTTTAGTTTACTAAGCCTCAGCCTCAACTTTCAGTTGGCTGAATTATTGTACTGAATACATAAAACCACATATTCTCCTTTGTAGTCAGTTTATACTGTTTCTACTCAATATGCTGATTAAAAAAACAAAGTTCTGTGGGATGCCAGTGTGAGCCACTGTAAACACTAGCTTCTCAGGAGGCTGAGATCTGAGGATCATTGTTCAAAGTCAGCAAGGGCAAGAAAGTCTGTAAAACTCTTATTTCCAATTAACCATTAAAAAAAAACCAGAAGTAGGGCTGGGAAGATGGCTCAGTGGTAGAGTGCTTGCCTCGCATGCATGAGTCCCTGGGTTGGATTCCTCAGTGCCACATAAACAGAAAAAGCTGGAAGTGGCATTGTGGCTCCAGTGGTAGAGTGCTAGCCTTGAGCTGAAGAGCTGAAGGATAGCACCCAGGCCAGAGTTCAGGCCCCATGACCAGCAAAAAAAAAAAAAAAAGAAGAAAGACTAATAATTAAAAACCAGAAGTAGAGCTGTAGAACAATGCCCAGGCCCTGAGTTCAAGCCGAGGGCTGGCATATGTGCATGCACACACTCACCCACCCACCCACCCACTCACACACACACACACACAAACACACACAGAAACTGGCTGAAATGACTCAGTTGTTGGATATAGACAAACAATACACTTCTTGGGCTGGAAAGGTAGTTCAGTGGTAGAGTGCTTGACTAGCATACATGTGGCCCTGGGTTTGATTCCTTATCACCACATAAGCAGAAAAAGCTACAAGTGGCTCTGTGGCTCGTGGCTCAAGTGGTAGAGCACTAGCCTTGAGCTGAAGAGCTCGGGACAGTGCCCAGACCCAGAGTTCAGGCCCCACAACCAAAAAACAAAACAAAATAAAATACACTTTTCCTGTTTTTCTTGTTAAACCTTTGTTTCCTAAGTGCTAATGTACTTTAGAATAATGATAGTCTCTTTTAAGGCCAGCTTTAAAAAGAAGTCCAGCTAAAACCAGAGAATTATGCGATCAAATATATATGATTAGGGTGCATTTTTCATTTTAGTTATCAGGATGCTCAAAATCAAATTAAAAATCGAAAACAAGATAAAACAATGTTAACTTAAAAGCTATAGCTAAGACACTATAATTTTCTTTCTTTCTCCCCAGATCTTGACCTTGTCATTTTTTATTTTATTATATGCATTTTCATAATACCTAACTCCTCTGTAAATGAGAGAGTTACAAATAAATGCACAAAAGAAACCCACCTGCACTTCTGCATCTAACCTAAGAGTGGAGGGTCTCACAACTTCTCACACAGGTAGTTTTTTGTTGTTGTTGTTGGTTTTTTTTTTGGCCAGTCCTGGGCCTTAAACTCAGGGCCTGGGTTCTGTTCCTGAGCTATACACTTGAGCCACAGTGCCACATATGGCCTTTTCTGTTCATGTACTGAGGAATCAAACCCAGGGCTTCATGGATGCAAGGCAAATACTCTACCACTAGACCACATTCCCAGCCTTCATGCAGGTGGTGTTAATTTAACTTTAATTCCTCATGCACTAACTTTAATCCACAAAATATTTATAGCATTTATTTAAAATAAGATTCCAGGGGTTGGGAAGGTGGCTCAGTGGTAGAGCGTTTGCTTTGCATGCATGAGGCCCTTGGTTCGATTCCTCAGCACCACATAAGCAGAAAGAAAAAAGCTGGAAGTGGCGCTGTGGCTCAAGTGGTAGAGCGCTAGCCTTGAGCTGAAGACCTGAGGGACAGCGCCCAGGCCCAGAGTTCAGGCCCCACGACTGGACCCCCCCGCAAAAAATAAATAAGATAAAATAAAATAAGATTCCAGGGGCTGGGAAGGTGGCTTAGTGGTAGAGTGCTTGCCTCACATGCATGAGGTCCTAGGTTGGATTCCTTAGCACCACATAAATAGAAAAAGCTGGAAGCGGTGCTATGGCTCAAGTGGTAGAGCACTAGCCTTGAGCTGAAGAGCTGAGGGACAGGAAGTGGCGCTGTAGCTCAAGTGGTAGAGCGCTCGCCTTGAGCTGAAGAGCTGAGGGACAGCGCCCAGGCCCAGAGTTCAAGCCCCACGACCGACAAAAAAAAAAAAAAAGAGCTGAGGGACAGGACCCAGGCCTAGAATTCAAGCCCCACAACCAACAAAAATAAAATAAGAATTCTCAGAGATATATGCCCATACTCACAGTTCTAGTTTCCTACAGTAACATTAGTCTGAAAATAGTATAAATGGAAAAACTCAGGCATAAGCAATTTGTAAGTTTAAGATTATTTTTAGCATGTTTATTTTTAAGTGTCCTATTACTGTTAATCAAATTTTGTCATAGGTATTTCTTTTTAGGGCAAAGCACAGCACATGCAGGATTTGGGCTACATGAAGTTCCAGGAATCCACTAATACCCACAAAGAACAACAAACTATGATGGGCCTTTAGGGGCAAGGAAAGTTCTGAAGCAAAAAGGTCAAATTGGGACTTAGTTCAACTCATTTTGGGAAGGCAATAATGCAGCATAATTATAACCGCTGACCATTTAATCACTTCCACTCCCCAAACAGGTTCCTCGCTGGGATCCCTGGCTTGGGTCTCCACAACTGAGAAGCTAATCTATACTACTGTCAGTATCCCTTTCTTCAGGAGTTCTTCACCTCTTGGATTAGGGATCTCTTTGCTGAGATACAGATTTTTACCTCCCTCATATCCAAAATAAATAATTTCAGGTAACACACAGGAAAAAAAAAACAGGACATGGTTTCCTCTCTAAATATTTTTTTGCAACCCTTCTTTTATTTCTGGTAGTCCTGGGATTAGAACTCAGGGTCTGTTCTCTACAATTTGAGCCATGTCTCCATCTACAACTTAACTCAGGGTCTGGGCACTGTTCATGAGCTTCATTTGCTCAAGGCTAGTGCTCTACCACTTGAGCCACAGCGGCACTTTTGGATCTTTCTGTGTATGTGGTACTGAGGAGTCAAACCTAGAGCTTCACGAATGCTAGGCAAGCACTCTACCACTAAACCACCTTCCCAGCCCTCCAGCTACAACCCCTTTTTAACGCTAAATTCTTGAACTTCTCTAGTTCCTTCCATGTGGAATCTATAGCTGTATCCTACTAGTTGTACATAAATATATGGGATTAATGAATATCTGAATTACAATGAATTACATTTGCTTGTTGAAATTATAAAATACAACAAATCAGTATCTTCTTGCCACAGGTATTGCAACAAACAGCAACTAATAGCTGCCTGATTATTAGGTAGCAAACAGCAACATTAATTTATAAGTGACTGAAAGCCAACCTATTTTTATTTCAAGCTTTCCTTTTGGAATACAGTTGAAAAAGCAGATGTCATCCATGAGTCAGCTTGGCCTGGAAGTCCACAGTACTCCACTTAATTCATTGTATCTCTAATTAGAGGAGGTGAGGAAGGTAAGAGGACCAAGTTATAATTACATAGTTTCACCATATTCAATTTGGTGCTCAACCCTGGTTATTTACTAAGTGCTCTAGCAAAACCAAACATGTTCTGAAAAGAAAATCTACTGACAGCAGAATTTGAAGTGTCCAAATAAGTGGATTCGGAGAAGGAAAAGGTAGTAAAATAGTCATCACAATGGGGGGAAAGACACTAGGTATATGGCTGGGTGATAAGGCTTCTTACCTAGCACTCTACCTCCAGTTCCATCTCCAGTATGCTGAGGGAGGAAACAACTAGTTATATAATAAGGTCAAAAAGAGGAGGCAAAGTAGTATTTAAATCAACTTCATTTCTAATAATCAGAACTACTCCAGATCAGCACAACGGCAGTGTCATATCTTCCACCTAACACAGTGGAAAGTTGATGCTGTCTCGTGAGACTTTAGTACATAAACAACATCATCAAAAACAGACCTACCTGGCCCCGCATCACAGACATTTGGCTTTCAAATGTAGCTTTGTCAAATCCTCTGTCAGTCTATTATGGAAAAGGAAGAAAGGTTAATATAGTTCCCAAATAAAAATCTTTGAAACAAATAAAGAATTTAAAATCAAGTTAATTTTCACATATCCAGTAAAATCATTAGAAATTTGCTTTAGAAAGGAAAATTTCTGGGGGTAGGGAATGGTTGTAATGGTGTTTGAAATCAGGGACTTAGACTAGCTAGGCAGGTGCTCTTCTACTGAGCCATGCCTACGGCACCAGGAAGGACTTAAGATGACTTTCTAGTTGGTGAGTTTGGGCTTTTTAGAATTAAATCATGTCAGGTCACCAAACACATAGTGTAATTTAAAGGGTAATTTTATAAAAATTCAAAAAAACCCTCAATTTTGATGTAGTCTCATTTGAAAGAATACTCTTAGTAAGCTATAAAGCTGTTCTTAATGATTTCATGTTAGAGGGCTGGAAATGTGGCTTGGTAGCAGAATGCTTGCCTAGCATGCATGAAGCCTTGGGTTCCATTCCTCAGTACCACATAAACAGAATAAGCTGGAAGTGGCACTGTAGCTCAAGTGGTAGAGTGCTAGCCTTAAGCGAAAGAAGCTGAGAGAGATAGTGCCCAGGCTCTGAGTTCAAGCCCCTGGGCTGCAAAAAAAAAAATTCATTTTTTCTGATAATCACAACTAAACATTGTAAGGTGTGTCCAAGGCCACACAGGCTCAGTGCAGACACCTTCCCTACCTCCTGGCTAAGTTTCCGCCCAGTATCTGTAGTACCTAGGTAACTGGCACACCTGGAAGCAGTCACCTTCCCCTCCTGCAAGGTCACATCCTGGGCCTCCTCTGTTATGCCTCCCATCTGACCACAGGAAGGTCCCAGACCCAGAGGTCACATCCAGATCCAGTGGCCACACTTTTCCCCTACCTGGCCACACCTCTTCCTGTCCCTGGCCTAGATAAGTACTGGCCAGGGAGTGGGTACCCTTTCAGCCATGCCTCTCCACCTTGCAGGTTGGGAGCAGCAGTTCGGTATATAAACTTTTCCTGCCTGAATACAGTGTGGTGTTCTCTTCATGGGCTTCCTAATGAAACCTACCTATTTAATATACTTTACAAACACTTTAAAAAGCAGTATGTAGACAGTATAAAGTGCTTTATTTTTATTTTCTTTTTCTCTGAATGCAGAAGAGTAGGCTATCAGGATTAAATTAATGTTGCTATAAGACAGACAAGTACTTTCTACATTTGGGCAATGAAGTTGACATTTTTAGCATAATTTCATCAACTAAAATGATAAAAACAAGCAGGGCACTGGTGGCTCATGCCTGTAATCCTACCTACTCAGGAAGCTGAGATCTGAGGATGGAAGTTCAAAGCCAATACAGGCAGGAAAGTCCTCATAAGACTCATCCCCAATTAACCTCGAGAAAACTGGAAGTGGTGCTATGGCTTAAAGGGGTAGAGTGCTAGCTCCTGAACAAAAAAGCACCCAGGACCTGAGTTCAAGCCTCATGACCAAGCCCAAGTGCTGTGGGATTGTAAGTTTTAGGTTGGGCTTGTGCCTTTTAAGAACTGAATGTTTGAGCACCCGAAATTCATGCGTTGAAATCTCACTGTCAATGTTATGGTATTTAAACATGAGGTCTTTAGGAGGTAATGTCAAGAAGATAACCTCTCATAATGGGATTAATGCCTTTACACAAAGAAGGCAGAGATCCTGGACTGCTAGCCTCCAAAAGTGTGAGAAATGCTTATTGTTTACAACACCCTATTGTTTGCATGTAAGCAGGTGGCAGTCTGATCTACCATACCTTAGGCTCATTCAAAATTTAATGTTGGGAGTTGGTGTAGCTTAGGGGCCAAGCACTTGCCTAGTAAGCACAAAGCCCTCAGTTTAATCCTTTGCACCACAAAACAATAAACAAATGACCCTCCCAAGTGAGATATTTACCTTAAAAAGTTCATAAAGATCTTCACACAAATCTTGCACAAAGTTCATGTCAGAAATATATGGTAGAATCAAGTTTCTTATTTCTTCAGAAAAAGGAACTTTGGCTTGAGGAAGCCAAGCCCAATAAAATGGATCTAATAGAAAAGAACAAATAAACCAAAACTCATTCTGTTAATCAAAGGCAGAAAATGGTATCTCCAGACTCACATTCATCCTGTTGTTTTTTTTTTCCTATAAATTCTTGGGTGGTCCCCCTAAAAGGAGAGAGAAGTTATCTGAAGACAACTATCCTTTACAACTCAGATTCCAAGTTCAGATACCTAATTCAGATTGGTGAAGCACAGAAACTGGTTGTTTCTGAGTTTTGGCTAGTAAAGGATAATAATTTAACAATAAATCCATGTCAAATAGTCCTTTCTTGAAAACCTTATTTTAGTTTCTTTGGTTTTGAGTTTAGAGGTTGGTGGGCACCTGTCACTTCTTCAAGTCCCAGGCTGAATGCTGGGCAGCAATACATCCTCAGGAAATGAAGATGTTCTAGAATTTTAATTATTACAAACTAACAGATCATGGCTGCTGGGTACCAGTGGCTCACGCCTATAATCCTAGGTACTCTAGAGGCTGAGATCTAAGGATCACAGTTTGAAGCCAACTAGGGTGGAAAAGTCCCTGTGAAACTCTTATCTCCAATTACCCACTCCAAAACTAGAAGTGGAACTGTGGCTCAAAGTGATAGAGTGCTAGCCTTGAGCAAAGGAGCTCAGGGACAGCACCCAGGGCCTGAGTTCAAGCCTCACAACCAATAAAAAAAAAAATCATAGCTGTGGACTAAGGATGTAGCCTAGAGGTCAAGTACTTTTCTAGCATGTGTGAGGCCCTGGGTTCAAATCTTAAAACCAAAGTGGGGGAAAAAAAAGAAAAAGAAAACTTCATGGCTGAGCTAATTCTTGTTCTCCCCACAGAGAAGCCACACAAATTCACTGAGATGAGAGAGGGTTGTACAATAGTGAAATCTTCTAGAGATGGTACACAGGCAGATTCCAGAATCCCATTTGAGTGAATTCTATCATCAGAAAGCCCTGAGGAAGAAATGTGTCCTAGGAATAATTCCTTATCATTTCTCTTCTACTTACATCTTTGCATGCAGTGGGAGCTACACCATACACCCTAAACAAAGCTTTTCTTCTGGCTCACATCTCTTTGAAAAGTTGAGAAACCTTATTTCTGCCCAGGACTACTAGATATTTAGAACATCATTATAGGTCATCCCAAACTATCAATACGGGCACTTGGGCATGTAGAGTCTACAAGAAGCATGTGTGTCTGTTCTGTCATGTTCCAAATGATTTTGAGGGCCTAATATAACAGCCTGCAGGCCATACAATCCCCAGCCCTGCTCATTTCCTTTCTGCCTTCCTTGAACAATTTCATAAAGGAAAGTTGTTATTCCTTGTTCACCTCCACTTTTGAATCCCTAGCCCTTCAACTTCTACTTCCCCCATCCATCTTTTTCCCTGTGCTCCCCAGAGCCTCCCATGGCCCATTTGTACTCCCCACACTATTCAACCTCACTGCAGTGAGCAGTGTGTCTTTTATTTCTTGTATAATTCCCTCCACTGTGGCTTGGCAACAATTCTCTCCAAAGTTCACCTTCTGTCCTATAAGCTGCTCCTCTCTTCTGTTGCCTTTTCCTTCCCTCTTTCAATGTCATTGTTCCCTGCATTCTTTCTTTCCTTCATTAAGCATTCATGGCATGTTTACTGAGTACTTGTGTTCCTGGCATGATACTAGGCTACCGTGTTTATTCTCCTTGAGTTTCCTGGGTGATAAGAGAACAGCACCATGGCTTCTGCTTCCAAGACAACCATGTAAATACCAGATTCTCTTTAAGCTCCAGATCCTTAATTTCCAACTGTATGTTTGGTAAAATTTCCCAGTAATCTTATAGGCACCTTGGATTTAGCATTTTTTAAAATGCAATTTGCATACAAGCTCCAAATGATTTTAGGAAAATGTAAAGCGGAAGCAAGATGTCTCATCACTTCCACAAAGACAGGAAGAACAAAAAAGAACAAATTTAGAATTCACAGTAAGTGGAATAAACTAAAATAGCAGAATTAAGTTCAAACATTTCTATACTTTATTGAGACTTTAAACTATAGAGACACCTTTAAAAAGCCTCAGATTTGGCTTTTAAAAATTCAGCTAAATGTTGTTTAAAAGAAAATGATTACAGGCACGAGCCCAGCTACTCAAGAGGCTGAGCTCTGAGGATCAAGGTTCAAAGCCAGCCCAGGCAACAAAGTCTATTCTTATCTCCAATTAGCTACCAGAAAACCAGAAGTGGCACTGTGGCTCAGTAGTAGAGCGCTCTCCTTGAGCTGGAGAGCTGAGGGACAGCGCCCAGGCCCAGAGTTTAAGCCCCATGACCAACCAAAAAAAGAAAAGAAAAAGAAAGCAAAAGAAAGAAAAGAAAATGATGGGACTGGGAATGTGGCTTAGTGATAGAGTGCTTGCCGAACATGCATGAAGCCCTGGGTTGGATTCCTCAGTACCACATACACAGAAAAGGCCAGAAGTAGCACTGTGGCTCAAGTGATAAGAGTGTTAGCCTTGAGCTAAAGAAACTCAGGGACAATACCCAGGCCCCGAGTCAAACCCCAAGACTGGCAAAAAAAAAATACAGGGTTAAAAATAAAAGTATAGGATAATGCCAGGAAACAAAAGGCAAAGAGGTACTGCAATAGTATAACAGACAAATAAGAAAAGCAAGAAATATCCAGAAAGATAAGGTGTACAGATTAAAAACAAAAACTACCAGGCAGGTAAAAATGTTAGATCTATACATGAAAATAACATGTGCCACCCTCTCCTCTGCCCCCAAAAAAAGCAAGAAGCAACTGACAAAAATCAATCACTATTAGGGAAGCTGTGAACAAGAGTACAAAGAGTATCATAGAAGATCATAGTTGAAGGCCAGCCTGGGTAGCACAGTTCTCAAGACCCATTCTCAATCCATAGCTGGGAACAGAGACACACCTGTCATCCTCCACTACATAAGAGGCTGAGATTGGGAGGATCAGAGTACAGGTAAATCCAGCCCAGGCAGAAAAGTCCTTGGACTTTTTGGATGTGGTGGTATGTACCAGTGGAGTTCTAAAGTAGGTGGATTAAAGCTTAGAGTAGGATGTGACACCCTGTTGTAAAAATAACCAGTGAAAAATAGGGCTAGCAGTGTGGCTCAGTGCCAGCCTGGCAAGGCTCTGAGTTCAAGCCCACCAATATTATCCAAAAAGAAAAAAAAAATATATATATATATATATATATATCAGTGATCTTTAATTCCCTCTCAAAATAAATAGAACAAGTAGTCAAAGAACAAGTTGAAGATAAGGCTAACAAAGAACAAACTTTAGTTGGCAAGTAGATAGAAATTCTTGTGCCTTTACTCATTATCTTGCCCATGTAATTGTAACCCCTCTATACAGTATTTTCACAAAAAAATTCTTATGTCCAATATATTTTTTCCAAATATAGGTCTACAAATTTGCTATATATAAGACCACAAAAAATTTCTAACAAACTACATAAAACAATGTACACAGGCCATATTCACAGACTACAGTGCAATAATACTGGGAAATAGGAATAATGGACACTTAATGCCAACAAGTATAGTTTAAAAATACATCAAACTAATTTAGATTTTTGGGGGGATGGGGAAGGCAATAGTGGGCCTGGAATTCAAGGCCTAGGCATTATTCCTGAGGCACACTTCCTTTTGTGTGTTTGGGGGGTGTTAATAAGAAATAAATCTCATGGACTTTCCTGTCCAGGTTGGCTTCCAATCATAATTCTCACATCTCAACCTCCTAAGTAGCTAGAATTATAGGCATGATTTACCTATGCTTAACTTAGAAATTTTATTTTTTTTTATTTTTTTATTTTTTGGGTCCGGTCGTGGGGCCTGAACTCTGGGCCTGGGTGCTGTCCCTCAGCTCTTCAGCTCAAGGCTAGCGCTCTACCACTTGAGCCACAGCGCCACTTCTGGCTTTTTTCCTTTTGCTTATGTGGTGCTGAGGAATCGAACCCAGGGCGTCATGCATGCAAGGCAAGTGCTCTACCACTGAGCCACCTTCCCAGCCCTAACTTAGAAATTTTAAAATCAAATAAAACACTCCTAAATTACTCCTATCTGAAAGAAAATCAAAAAGTAGCTTAGGGCATGTTCAAGTGGTAGAACACCCAACTTTCAAACATGAGGCCCCAAGTTTAGTCCCTAGTGCTGAGGTGGGGGTCGGGGGGGACATAAGGAACTATAAATAAAAGGAGAAAGTATGGATTTGAAAAGTAGAACAAGAGAATGGTATCATTTCGTGGTATAGCCAGAGTAATGCTCAGAGGAAATTATGTGCCTAGAATTCAGTATTATAGTGTGGCTCTTCAATGACTTCTACCTCCACAGAGATTGCATTAAAGGCTTGGCCTTCCCAGGGCTTTTAGAAGGTGAGACCTACTGGAAGGAAGTTATATCAATGGGGGCATGCACTTGAAGGGGACACTGGGCCTTGGTACTTTACTGTCTTTTTCTTTCACTTCCTAGTTGTTCTAGCTGATCAGCTTCCATGTGTTCCTACCATGCCATACTGTACTGCCATAAGTCCAAACCAAAAGCATCAGGTAACATGAATGGAAATCTCTGACATTGTAAGCAAAAATAACCCTTTTCCTTTATTAAGTTAACTTCTCAGGGCTTTCTGTGTATTTTCTCTAACTTGAGCCAATTTCATACCTATCATTAGCCACTGCAAAACACTGCTTTGTAAGTGAATATAACCTTAAACATGAGCATTCAGCTCCACAAAATATTAACATAGATAATTCTTACATCACATATACTTTAAAAATTACGAAGCTATAAGCTGGCTCCGGTGGCTCATATCTATAATCCTAATTACTCAGGAGCCTAAGATCTGAGGGCTGCAGTTGGAAGCCAACCTAGGCATGAAAGTCTATTAGACTCTTACCTTCAACTGACCACACCTTTCCCCACAAAAAGCTAGAAGTGAAGGTATGGTTCAAGTGGTAGAGAGCTGGCCTTGAGCAGAAAAGCTAAGGGAGAGTGCGTAGGCCAAGTTCATTCCCCAGTGCCACACCAAGAAACAAACCAAATAAAACCCTCAAAACCCTTAAGCTACCATATGCATTGGGCAAGGCTGATAGAAAGGCAAAAATCAAACCAAACACAATCATTCAAAATTAAGCAAACAATACACAGTAATTCCTTATGTCTACATACCTAGAATTGAGCAATACTGAATGATAGATGGTGCTCAATTAGCTCTCCTCTATTTTGGTGTCTGTAACTTCTGTTGCCTTTCCATTTGGGAATAGGGGTAATTACAGAATTACAGAAAGTTCTAAATACTCACATGCCCTCCATTCATCAGGATGCTTAAAAGGAAATGCGAGGCCATTATCAATTGCAGCTATTTTAATAAGCAGTTCTTTATCATCGATCCAATTTGCTTCCTAAAGAGAAGAAAACTATCTGTTGATAAAAGAACCTAGATAATTACCTTCAAGAACAAATTATTTTTGGTAATAATTGAGGTTTAAGGACATTCTCTCTCCAAAGCCCACAAAAATTAAAGTTTTTACCCAGGAAGGGAAGAGGCCAGTTTAACAAACAGAACTTCATGAACTCTTTATAAAGAAAAATTTGACTTATGACTGAGTGCTAGTGACTCACACCTGTAATCCTAGCTACTCAGGAGGCTGAGATTTAAGGATCATAGTTCAAAGCTAGCCCTGGCAGGAAACTTCGTGAGACTCTTATTGCCAATTCATAATCTGGAAGTGGTGCTGTGGCTCAAAGTGGTAGAGCACTAGCCTTGAGCAAAACAGCTCAGGGATGGTAGTCTGGCACTGTGTTCAAACCCCATGAACAACCGAAAAAATAAATAAATAAAATTGACTTTTGCTCAGTAATGTTTTCATTTCTTCCTCTGTAGAGAGCTTGAAAATATTAAGATTTTAAAAAGTATTATCTTATTTATTACTATACTCACCATTTATGTTTTCCTATCATTATTACCTTTTTTTTAATTGTGAAAATACTGTACCAGAGGGGTTACAATTACATGGGCAAGGTAATGAGTACATTTATCATCAAGCATTGTAGCCTCCTCCTTTGGTTCCCCTTTCTTGTCCCTTCCCCATTATTACTTTTTATGATCAAGATGTACTCTTTCTTAAAATACCATACAAACAATTAGATCAAACACCAGAGGTTCTAAATAAAACTCCCTGAAGACTTAAATATATTAAGGTATAATGGAAGGAATTTCCTTGGTGTGTGTGTGTCAGTACTGGAGGCGTGTGTGTGTGTGTGTGTGTGTGTGTGTTAGCTTTTCCCCCAAGGCTGGCACTCTACCACTTGAGTCACAGCTTCACTTCTGGCTATCTGGTGGTTAATTTGGAGATAAGAGTCTCACAGTGTTTTCTGCCTGGGCTGGCTTCAAACCTCGATCCTCAGATCTTAGCCTCCTGAGTAGCTAAAATTATAGGTGTGAGCCACTGTACCTGGCTTAAATTTTTTTCCAATCTATGGACTGTTTAAAAAAATTTAAACCACTCAAAAATATATGTACTTAAAATTTGATCTGGGTTATTCAAAGTTGATAACAATGAATTTAAAATCTAAAATTCTGATAGTGTTTGCGGTCTCCTCAGACTATTTAAACCAGTTTCTTAAAAGGAATAGAAGTACTTTTTTGTTGTTTTTTGATTGTGTAGTAGATCTGACTCACAAGGGAAACAAACATGTTTCACTGTATTAGGTAATGTTGATTTACCTAATATTGAAAATACTCAGAAGGAGCTGAATTAATAAAATACATATATGTCACCCAAAGTGCCAGAGCCTTTTTCATATAAAAGCAAGATAAAGTTGGTGGTACCTCAGTTTGCCAAACTCTGAGAGAACTGCCTAATAAAAACCAAGAAGAAAGCTGCCAGAGACAGTGAAATAGAACGTAGACATACAGTATAAAAAGGTAACAGCAGGAAGGATACTGAGAAGAAAAAAAAGGACACTGAGGAAGACAATGAGAGTGAGACCAACATCTACATGGAGGAAGGCATGATGAAGAAAAACTTCACCTATAGAAATCTTTTATACAAAAAAAATCTTTTATACAAATTCAATATTCAGTTTTACTTGGTTAATGAGAATTTCCTTACCTGCCCATCAATTTCCTTTCCACATTTTTCCTTTTCATATCTGACTAACCAGTTGTCATTTCCCCTGTCTTTTAAAAGAGACAAAAAAAATCTATGAATTATATTTCTTGATACTATAGTATGCTATCAAAGGGAAAGATCTAGTCATCTGTATTATTACTTTTTATTTTTGGTGCCAGTCCTGGAGCTTTTACTAGGAGGATGGGCACTGTCCCTGAGCTTTTTTTTTTTTTTTTGCTAAAGGCTGGCATTCTACCCCTTGTGCCATAACTACACTTCTAGTTTTGGTGGTTAATTGAACTTTCCAGCCTGGGCTGGCTTTGAGCCAGAATTCTCAGTTCTCAGTTTTCTGTGCAGCTAGGAATTCTCTAGAAATACAGGTGTGAGCTATCAGCATATTTCACTTACCTCCTTATTTTTAAGAGTCATTATTTTCTGTACTTGGGTTTGCTACACGGATTCTGATTTATGACATATTTTAAAAGTGCCAATTTTAGCTAGCATTTATTGTTCTCTCTGGGCAGATACTCTAAGTGCTTCACATGTGTTAATTCATTTAATCCTCATTGGCTCCCTGTAGGGGTGTAACTGTGACAGCAGGTTACCAACTGCTCATCTTGCCAGGCCAACGGCCAAACAGGTTAACCTAATATCAGCACAGAGCACTCCAAACTATATACCAATCATAATATTAACCCAAATTTTAATTTTTAATATTAACCATGTTAATATTTGGTTAACCATGTTAACCAAAGCTAATATGAATAGTAAGGAAATTTTAATTGGGAGCTTCTCAAGCTTTAGAGTACATTGGAACTGTCTGGAGGCTCCTGAACCTCTTAAACCTAAGTCTGGTCTGAGAAGATGTGGTTTTACAAGTTCCCATGCAATGCTTCTGGAGAGTCTAATAAATTAAGCTCTGGACTGTCTACATCACTGTTACTTATAGCACAGAGCAAACGAAGTCTGATGTCTTATAAATAACACTTTCAGATACACAATGCCCCAAAAAAGATTAAACAATTTACCCAATCAAGTTTCAACATTTCATTTCATTTTTCTTTGTGCCAATAGTGGGCTTTTGCTTATAGTGGAGCTCTATCACTTGAGCTATGCCTTCACATCTTGTTTTTTGCTGGTTGATTAGAGATAAGAGTCATACTGACATCTCTCCCAGGGTTGGCTTTGAACTGTGACACTCAGATCTTAGCCTCCGGAGTAGCTAGGATCACAGGCATGAGTTAGCAGCACCCAGCTTCAACATTTCATTTCCAATATTTGCTTCTGGGGTCCCCTACCTTCAGGGGACAGAACTGATCTGTCTGGCTTGGACAGGGCCTGCTGTGATGACACAAGCTCCCAGTATAGGATTAATTCAGCCTTAAAGAATCAGTACCACAGATGTTTTCCAAGACAGGGAGAAGAAGAAGACTTGTGTATCAACATTGTATGACTTTGATTTCAATAACAAGAATTCAGTTTGAAAGCTAATAAGAGTGCATGAACAAATGAGAGAACTTCAATACCTGTATTTCTGATGATGTAATCCAAAATAACTAATCTTTCAAATTGTGACTGAAATTGTTTTCTAATATTCTCAGGCAAAGGATCAGCTTCAAACTTCCTAAGCCAATATTCAGCCTCCTTGTAACCTTCAACAAATAACTGAAAGGAACCAATCTATAATTTTAAGAACTACAGTTAGAAAAGAAAGTATAAGAACAAAGGGGTTAAAATGTTTAAAACTTTCTCAGCAGTACTGACATAATATTTTACATCAACACAGTAAGTTAACACTAATACAGATAAGCCACATTTACCAACAAAACTATTTTTATACACTAATTTTAAAATAATCACAAGAACACATAGCAAATATAAAATGCTCTCCAATTCTGAAGGAGCACTGCAGTACTTTAGCATAATTAAAGAAGAGAAGCATGTGACCTCAAGGTGACACTCTTGGCAAGAATGCTGCTTTCAAAAATATTTGTTAAAATGAATTGTGAAGGCCAAATTGTATAGCTATTTAGCTGTCCTGGCTTTTTTAAAATCTTCCTGAAGCAACATTTCATGCTTCTTTTGCAGCATCAATTTTATTTAAAAAAATGGGAAATGGAGCTGTGGCTCAAGTGGTAAAGAGCCAGACTTGAGCAAAAAAGCTAAGGGATAGCACCCAGGCCATGAGTTCAAGCCCCAGTCCAGGCACATATACACACAAAAGTAAGACTAGGTAAATTTTAAAAGGTCTATCATAGGTATTTTTTAAAGAACTAAGCAGTTAATCCTAACTTTTTTAAAATTTTATTTTATTGTAAAGACGCTGTATAGAGAGGTTACAGTTACATGAGTAAGGAAATGAGTACATTTCCTGTCAAACATCCTTACCCCCTCCTTTTTCTCCTACCTCTTCCCTCCCCCATCTTCCCCACTCCTCACCCCTATCATAACTTTTATAGAGACCTTAAAAAAGTCCTTTCCTTGAATATATGTCCATCTGAAAGGCATTTTATTATTAAAATTACAAGTTAACATTAAATTTTTGATGAAGAAATAGGAATCTCAAGAGCACATGATACACAGGTAAAGAGTAATCTACTGTGTGCAACAACCAAATTATCACAAAGAAAATCTATTCCTTGTAGGCCCTAATTTTTTTTTTTGTGGTCCTGGGATTCAAACTCAAGAGCCTTGTATTTGCTAGGTTATGCTAACTTTTAACGTTCTTGTTGCCATGAGATCTTTAACAATTAAAAGTTTCCAAGCTGGGTGCTGGTAGCTCACACCTGTAATCATAGCTACTCAGGAGGCTGAGATCTGAGGATCGCAGTTCAAAGCCAGCCCGGGCAGGAAACTCCGTGAAACCCTTATCTCCAATAAACTACTAGAAAACCAGAAGTGGCACTGTGGCTCAAGTGGCAGAGCACTTGCCTTGAGCTGAAGAGCTGAGGGACAGTGCCCAAGCAGAGTTCAAGCCCCACTGACTGACAAAAAAAAAAAAAAGTTTCCTTCAAGGCATTTATAGTTAAGTACTAGCAGCTGCAAGTACAAAATAGCTTCCTCCAGCCACACTTATTTCAGCTTATCCAAGGAAAAACAGGTCTTAGAAAAATTTCCAAAACTTCCTCCCTAGGTCAGGTGCAGTGGTTTAAGTAGGGATCCTGGATGGAACTTAACTGGGGCAAAAAAAAAAAAAAAGATGAAGGCAACTTCATCTCAACAGAGCAAACCAGATGTGGTAATACTTCTATAATCTCAGCTAAGTGGGAGGTATCAGTAGGAAAACTGCAAACTGAGGCCAGCCTGGGAAAAAGACCTCAAGATTATCTGAAAAATAACCTGAAGAAAAATGGGATGAAGCTGGGCACTGGTGGCTCACGCCTGTAATCCTAGCTACTCAGGAGGCTGACATCTGAGGATCGTGGTACAAAGCCAGCACTGGCAGGAAAGTGAGTGAGACCCTTATCTTCAATAAACCACTAGAAAACCGGAAGTGGTGCTGTAGCTCAAGCAGTACAGCACTCACCTTGAGCTGAAGAGTGCAGGGACGCGCCCAAGCCTAGAGTTCAAGCCCCACAACCAACCAAAAAAAAAAAAAAAAAAGGGGGATGAGAACATGGTCAAGCAGAGGGCATCTACTTAGCAAGCACAAAGCCCTAAATTCAAACCCTAGCACTGTCCCAAAATCTCTCAACACTTTCGAGAAAAAATAAAAAAAAAACTTCTTAGAGTACAATTTTAAAAAACAAAATAAATAAAACACAAAGTCAAGTTCAAATTCTCTTGTATAGGTACTTCTGTCGCAACAAAACCACCATAAGTCAGATTAAACAATTCTCTAATCTTTTCCCATTAGCCCCATCCATCCTTGCTTAGATTGCCACTAGTAATCCTTCTGGTTTTCTAGAAGTGTAAAGAATAAACAAGATTTACCATGTAGTGTGTGGCACAACCTGAGGTCTCAGAACTAAGAGTCTGGAACTAAGACATTGGAACCTAGGCCTGATTCTAGACAAGACTTTTAGACATTATTTCATAAATAGAGCAACCAACATCTTTCCAACTTACACTAACTCAGCTTCCATCTACCTTCTTTTTCCTGCCCCTTTCGGCAGTGGCCAGGATTGAATCCAAGGCCTTGGCATGTTAGACAAGACCTTTACCACTGACCTTTGCCCAGGTACCCCTCCTCTAACCTCTGAGAGCTCCCTGAATTTCAGTGCTCTCAGATTGTACCCACAGCCAACAGTAGGATATAAGGCCTGTTCCCCAGAACTAAAGACTTAAAGACTTCCTGGCTACCTCTGAGTGAAGTTTACCAAAGACACTTACCTTAGGAGGGAGTCCAATCCGATGGAACTTTCTACCTACTTTTGGCACTTTCTCTAAGGCATACTTTTTGCCTCTTGATTTTGCCCGGTCAATTGCACTGTAGTTAAAGGTCTCACTAACAAGCCAAACCACCTAGAAACAGTTTAGAAAAAAGTGATTACAACTTGCATTATATATATATATATATATATATATATATTATAGTACCACCAAATTCCACTCATGTTATAAATAAGCAAAGTTTAACACTCTGATAAAAGTACCAGAGAATTTAAAACAGAAAGGTCATTTTGAAAGGACATTATTTCTTTTGAAAGAGGTATAAAAGCAGCCTAAAATTTTTCAGTAGGGAAAAACAAACCAAACCAAACAAAAGCCTTGTCATGTAGAATTAAGAATGAACCTTTTGAGGAAGGCTTCAGGTAAAAATATATACAAGAAAACAATAGCACTACTGTAGGCACATTAGTTATCTCTACATAGAGGTCCAAAGGCTTTTCTGCTATTTTTTGTTTCTTAATTTTGTTTGTTTTTAACAGGGTCTTGCTTCATAGTCTAGGCTTGTCTCAACAGTCATGATCCTCCCTCTTCCACTTTCTGTTGGGATGGCTACAGGTGTGCATCACCATGCACTACTTTTCTGACGTCTAAATATTAGTCCTTTCTCCTCTTTTGTTACCCACATAGAACCTCACAAGATTAGGAGACAAAGCCGGGCACCAGTAGTACCTGTAATCCGCTACTCAGGAAGCTGAGATCTGAGGATCATAGTTCTAGGCCAGCCTGGGCAGGAAAGTCCTTGAAATTCTTATCTCCAATAAACCATCAGAAAACTGGCGCTGTGGCTCAAGTGGTAAAGTGCTCACCTTGAGCTGAAGAGCTAAGAGACAGCGCCTAGGCCTAGAGTTCAAGCCCCTGACTGAGCAAAAAAAAAAAAATAGGAGACAGGAACAAGGAACTAGTTGATCATGATAGCTGGGTAACCAAAAGAGACTTAACTTCAAGCTCTATCAAAGTCAATGTTATTCAAGTATCCACAGAGTAGCTATAGGTGCTAGATTGAAAACAAATATTCTGTTACCTTTGTTTTAGGGACAATGCCCAGGTGAAGCTTTTCATCCACCAGGGAGGCACCAGCTTCTGAAAGGTAACCCTGGTTAGGAAGCAGGCAGCCTCTGCCGAAGCAGCAAGGGCAGCAGACTTTATGAACATACTTGGTCCATTTTGGATTCAGTTGTCCATAAGGTTCTTCTGATTTGGGCTTAAACACACCAATAATTTTCTATAGAGGAAAAGAATGGAAATCTTAATGAATGACAGGAAAATAAAACAGGCTTTTCTGAGGATGGGTATCAGTAGGGAGGGTGAGGAGAGGGTAAATGCGGTTGTGGTAGTTTATATGCATGTACAGAAATAGAACATCAGGAGGTTGAGATCTGAGAATCACAATTCAGAGCCACCCTGGGGAGATGGAGTAGAGATTCTTAGTTCCAGCTAACCAGCAAAAGCCAGAAGTAGAAGCATGTCTCAAGTGGTAGAGTGCCAGCTGCACACAAAAAAAGCTAGTGAGACCCTGAGTTCAAGCCCCAATATTGAGGAGGTAGGTTAACAATGAAACTTATGTAAATTGTTTTAAGGAGAGGATAAGAAGAGTGATAGATGCGATGAGGTTGGTGTGGTACTGTATACATGTATGGAAGTGCCCGAAGGAAACCGCCCTTGTATAACTAAGTCTTTAATAGGGTGACTTAGATCAAGATGCATTGTATTTATAAAGTCATTTGTTGAATAGTAACTCCTTTGTACAACTACTTAAGTAAAAATATAATTTAAAAAATCAAGATGTATTGTACAAAAATTGACAAGTTCAACTGAAACAAACACCTCTGTACAACTATTTAAAGATAATGAAAGGTAAAAAAAATCTTAAAGAGTAGAGATCTTATTAGGCTTATATATATATATATATATATATATATATATATATATATGGACAATAAGCCACAAAATACATTCTCATAATTTTCTATTGCCTTCCCCCTCCACATTTCAACACAATCCTCAAGTCTTGTATTTACTTCCAGTCACATGTCACATTTAATGTTAAGTAGCAATTGAAAATCAAGAATCTTTTTTTTTCTTTTTTTGTAATGCCAGTCCTGGAGCTTGGGTGCTGTCACTGATTTTTGTTCAAAGCTAATGCTTTACTGCTTGAGCAACAGCTCCATTTCTGGTTGTTTTTGGTATTCAATTAAAGATGACAAGCTCAAAGACTTTCCTGACCAATCTGGCTTTGAACCTCAATCCTCAGGTATCAGCCTCCTTCCTAAGTAGTTAGTATTATAGGCATGAGTCACTGGTGCCCAGCTTTAAGAACCATTCTGGGAGCTGGGAATATGGCTTAGTGTTAGAGTACTTGCCTAGCATGCATAAAGTCCTGGGTTCAATTCCTCAGTACCACATACACAGAAAAAGCCAGAAGTGGTGTTGTGGCTCAAGTGATAGAATGCTAACCTTGAGCAAAAAAGAAGCTCAGGGACAGTGCTCAGGCCCTGAGTTCAAGCCCCAAGACTGGCAAAAAAACAAAAACAAATAAAAAATTAAAAAAACCAACCTTTTTGATCATTGGTTTTTCAAATTGCTGACAAAGTTATAGAGTGAGGGCAAGACTCAGGCCATTTAACCTGTGACTCCATATCTTTTAACTCTAACCAGAGTTAAGTACAGTTTTCTTGTCTTAGATTACTACATTTTTATTAAAGGCATTTCACTGACCCTCCCTCCTTTCTTAAAGTTGAGATGGTGCTTCACAACGTTGCTCAGGTAAGTCTCCAACTTATGAGCTCAAGTGATCTTCCTGTCTCAGCCTGCTGAGAATCTGGGATGTGCACCCAGGCATCTGCAAATATATACACCTCAAACAAGTAGTAGGCTTTAAAATCACTTTTAAAATAAACTTCAGTCTTTGCTCAAAAAAATTTGGATGTAAAATGAACTGCTTATATATCATGGAGAAAGCTTTTAGAAAAGAAAGGATCAAGTTTTAAAATTTTTTAGTTTAAATGAAGAAAGTGCTACATCAACTTCTCTTTTCTCCTCCAGAATTGTATTTTCCTTCTTTTGTATTTTCCTTCTCTTTTATTGCATTCCAGTGTCATCAAACAGTAGCCTAGCCTCCCACCATGGGCATAATGGGAGGGAGAATATTTCTAGGGAAAAATATATCTTTGAAAAAAATATTAAGCATTTGGAAATGACATTAGGCAGGTTTTTAATGTTCATCAAATTTCCACTTTACTTGGCAGCAGGCTCCTATGTGGTTAGGATTTATGAATTTATGCTTAACAAATATAGAAGTAAATACAGGTATTACTTAAGTGTTTAAAACCAAATATAATTATATCAGAACAGCAAACTACAAATTAAAATGGTTAGCTCTATTCCTCTAATGTAGTGCTTTAGAAAAAAACAAAAACAAAACAAAAAACCCTGCTCTTTATTTTGGAAGAGAAGGTGTAGATTTAATAGGAAGATATTTTGGGACACTCATAATGATTTCACATTTAAAATGGTGTTTTCCAAAATTGTGCAATATATCATAGGTCTAGGAAATTCTCACCCTCTTAGGATCCTTCACAAAGTAACTTCCACTTGATCCTTGAGTGATTCTTTCTGGAAAAACTCCAATTTCAATTGCTTGCTCTGCTCTCAGTACAATATCAGCAAATTCTGGATCATCCAAGAATGAATTCAACTCTGAAATAGCAGAAGTAACTGCATTAAGATCAGCTCATGATACATGATAAAGACCTGTATGTATGGATTAGATTAGTGGCTTTCAGGCATTTAAGTATGGAAAAAGATAATCAAGGATTATATGGGCTGCTCTGATTTTCTTGACTGACCCAATCCCACTCTCCATCAAGTCCCAAATAATGACATGGGAAAGAAACTTCACAATTACGTGAAGAAAATATATAACATCTCATTTCTTTGAAAACAGTCCTTTGACAACTCTTCTCCAAAGATTCTGTCCTCCATTCTACTTCAGCTCTAACTCCAGTCTTGCCTCTGACTACCAGCGTCTGCAATCTGTTCAGACTTGCAATATGAAGCACCTCCTGTGACCAGAGGAGCACCTGTGGCAAACGGTCCCAAGCCTCTCCACCCCCCAAGAACCTCCAAGGTGCCCTGGAACTTCACCTCTTCATGTTACCCCTGCCAGCTTAAATTGAGTCCTATCAGGGTGAAGTCCCTCCCCACTTCTCCAGGATCACCTGGGAAAACCCCAATTCTGGCTAAACTAACCATCCATTCTATGCCTTTGTGGGGGCAGCTGAACTCCACAGGGAACCAAACATAAACCAATTTCTCTCTCTCTCTAAATTCTCTACACTTCCTCTCCTACTCTCTTTCAGCAGATGATCTAGCTGAAAAACAATCAGAAAAAATTACCACCAGCTAGGATCACGACACTAACCCATTATTTGACTGTAGTCCAATTCATACTTTTCCTCCTTAATTTCACCCAGACTTTTTCTCAAGCCTGGACTTCTACCCTGAGCTCCACTTACTGCATTCAACATCTGCACTTGGATGTTAGTAGACACTCAAATGTTACTACCCCAAGTCAATTTCTCACCCTTACCACCCACCTGAAGGCCTCATCTGGCCTTAATCCTGCTGCTGGAACCTCAGATTTTTACAGTTGCTTCAACTCCAGATCTAAGACATCAGTAGCATCACACTACACACCACCCTTTCAAACCACCATCAGGTTGTGGGGGCTCTCCTTAATGAAAGATATTTAAAAGTATTTTGAGACTCTATCCCCCTCTCTATAGGTTTCCCTTTCACCCATGCCTCTCTATACTCAATAAGGAAGCTGTGGTAATCCCTTAAAACACATGACATATCACGATATGCCTTTGTACCACACAGCCCAAGGCTTTCCCACATCACTCAAAGTCCAAGTCTTGATATCCACTAAAAACCTTACCCAATTGGCACTAGCCAGCCATCATTTGATTTTTCTACTTAGCCCTTATCTCCTAATGTACTGCGTAACTTAGGTAATTTCAGAAGGATAAATAGACAAGGATTTCTTTCACTGCTGTCTTCCTGGAACTTACACAAGTCCCGGAATAAAATAAGCACTCAACAAACACTTGCTGAATGAAGTATAAGCATTAAAAAGGTAGGGAGACCAACCAAAAGCTACTTACATTTGCATTTGGAAGGTATTTCAAGACTTAAGGTGCATGACTATGAAAACCCAAAACATAATCAACTTTCCTTAATCAGACAGAAACACTTTTGGAAGGTGTGCTGGGACTTGAACTGAGTGTCTCACATTCTTTTTTAGCTTTTTCACTTGAAGGTGGTACTCTACCCCTTGAGTCATGCCTCCACTTCCTGGTTATTGCTGGTTCGCTGGAAATAAGAGTCTCTTGGATTTGTCTAATGGCTGGCTTCAAACCTCAATCCTTAGATCTCAGCCTCCTGAACAACAGATATGAGCCACTGGTGCCTGGCTAAAAATAAAACTTTTATATACTTAGTTTTGAAAGCTGGTGCTGAAAAAAAAAGCTATTAGGTATATTTAGAATAAATAATCTAAGTATTTTAGTTACTTCAATTGATATGCTCACTGAAAATTATCCCTTAAAACTCTAAAGAAGGATGAAACTTTTTCCTGTTGACTTGGAAGAGTGGGCATTTAACAAAGTATCTGAATAAACGCTCAAGAAGGATGAAACTTTTTCCTGTTGACTTGAAAAGTGGGCTTTTAACAAAGTATCTGAATAAACGTAAGTACCAGTAACCACTGTCATTAGTCAAATCAGTCCCATGATTCTTCCAGATCAGGGACTGTAAGCAGGGTTTCACTAATTGCCCAGGCTGGCCCTAAACTCACCATCCTCCTGAGTGCTGGGATTATAGAGCGGTACACCCCTCTAGGCTTAGGCCCTCAACAACAGAACAAATTTGAAGGGTTTTTTTGTTTTGCTTTTGTTTTTATTTTTGCCAGCCCTGGGGTTTGAACCTCTTTTTACTCAAGGCTAGTGCTCTACCATTTGAGCCACATACCACTTCTGGCTTTTTCTGAGTATGAGTAGTTTATTAGAGACAAGAGTCTCACAGACTTTACTGCCTGAGCTGGCTTAGAATTGTTATCCTCAGTAGCTAGGATTACAGGTGTAAGCCACCAGCACCCGCCTTAAATTTGAAGTTATTTCAACCTTGTTCCCAGTACTAGTGCACTTTATGTAATATATTACTAGCAAGTAGTCATTGGACTAGTGCACAAATATTTTTAGAGTGATCCCTACATCTTTTTAATGTTCCTTCTTGTGTGCTTAAAAACAAACACAATCTTTCTTCTCCAGAATGAAGTAAGTCTCCTGCAGTTTCACCCTCTATCCTGGACATGCCATGTAGAGTAAACCAAAATCTATATATCCTGTTCAGTGACAACCCTCTACATACATAAAGACCATTCCTGTTTCCCATATGTCCTCCACCCTCCACCTCCTGTCCTAGAGAAGTGGGTTGGGGGACTTTCAGCATCCTAGTTATCTGTCTACTTCATGCCTCAGTAGATCAAAGTCCCAGTAGAGCCACGTAACCTATTAGGAGAACAGGGGACCCTCAGTCTTGATGTCAAACCATAAGAGACAGCTCTCTAAGGCTGCTTTAGTTATTAGGAGTCCTGTGAGCACCGGGGTTTTTGTTTTGTTTTGTTGTTTTTTGGTCCATTGTGGGGCCTGAACTCTGGGCCTGGGCACTGTCCCTCAGCTCTTCAGCTGAGTAGCACTCTACCACTTGAACCATAGCACCACTTTCTGGCTTTTTCAGCTTATGTGGTCCTGAGGAATTGAACCCAGGGCCTCATACATGCAAAGCAAGCACTCTACCACTGAGCCACCTTTACAACCCTGGTTTCTATTACAATATCGTAGCTCTTAGAACACTCATGGTCTCTCCTACTCTGAACTGGATTTCTACTACATGTAGGCCTTTATGTTTGTTTCTATTTAACATTACTGAATTGGCTTTATAGGCTATTTTCAAGGATAATATAGCTCTGCTCTCTGTTGCTTTCAATAACCATTCTCTGAAAACTTAGTAAATCTGCTTCAACCCAAACCAGACCAATAAGAGAGCACTGCTGTCAAATAATACTGGATGTCCTCAGCCCTGTGGTGACACAGTATCCTCCCCATAGGAAAAGTTGTATTCTTTTACTTGAAGATGGTCTGGTTCACCTATCAGTCTACAAAGGTACTTAAAAATAATGGGTCCAATTATCTCATTACTGTTAGAAAAAAAAAAGGCTAGGAAGTAGAGCTATAACTCAAGTGGTAGAATGTCTGCCTTGAGCAAAAATCCCAAGCCAGATGGTGAGGTCCTGAGTAGTTTAAGCCCCAGTTCTGATACACAAAAAAAGAAAAATTACATATTAACTATTCTAAAATCAAAGCAATGGGTTTTTAGTGGGTATTTCCTTATACAATCCATTACTATTACATACTATAGTTCTGCATTCTGTTTATAAGAATGTACTTGGGTGATGAGTTTAACTTGGTGGGAGGACCCCCAGATATTACACTGGGTGAGATGTGCTATGGATGGTCTGATGGCTTGTTGCTGTCATCTGGTTTTTAATAGCTGAGGATATAGTGAGTTACATTTTGTTTTTGCAGTACTGGGAGTCAAACCCAGAGACTTGCACATGCTAAACAAGCACTGTGCCTCTGAGCTACTCTCCTCTAGCCTGCTTTAATGTTTTTTTCCTATTGGTATTATGGTCTCACTTTTAAGGAATAAATTATAGTGTTTTGATTTGTCGGTATCAGAAAATCCTCAAAATTCTTTTCTAAGGAGAACCTCAATTTTCCCTTGGTACATTTCCTTTGAGTCACCTTTGACAAGAGATAATGCCATTCTAGCCAAGTTCCAGCATATTCAGGTTCCCTACTTTTCATAAGCTGGCCAAGCTCTGAATCTTCCCTTGCCATTTCAAGCTTTCTTCCCATGGCTAATTCTTACTGATTCACAGTTACAATTCTACAACAGAATGATCTAAGTTCCAGGCGGGCAGAGTTCTTTTTGTTTCGTTTCTGATGTTTGTAAACTGCCAGGAGTGGTGGCTATGCCTGTGATCCCAGCACCTGGAAGGCAGAGATAGGAAGATCTTAAGTCCAAGGCCAGCCCAGGCAACATACCAGAATTCTGTCCTAAAAAAAGGAGAGAAGAAAGAAAAGAATCAACAAACTACTCCCTGGACCACACATTAAGTGTTCCTCCTACTTCTCTGGAAAGCAGAAATTGAACAGGTAAGAGTCACTGTATTACCTTTTATATTTAAATGAGTATAGGTATACATGGAAACTTACCAAGCTTTCATTTTCAAGAAAGTAAATGAATCCTTCCTCCCTTAAGAATAAAACTGCGGGCTGGGAAGGTGGCTCAGTGGTAGAGCGCTTGCCTTGCATGCCAGAGGCCCTGGGTTCGATTCCTCAGCACCACATAAGCAAAAAGAAAAAATCCAGAAGTGGCGCTGTGGCTCAAGTGGTAGAGAGCTAGCCTTGAGCTGAAGAGCTGAGGGACAGTGCCCAGGCCCAGAGTTCAGGCCCCATGACTGGACCCCCCCCCCAAAAAAAAGAATAAAACTGCATCTCACCTACTAATTAGAATATTTTCTAGAAAAAAGAATAAGTGGACAAGTGGAGTGAACTGATCTTTGCCTGAGGGGCGCTGATGCTATTCAGCTTTCAGGTGGCCTTCAGGCCACTTCCCTGCTAAACCTCCCCAGCTTCTACATTTAGGGCACAGCGCTCTAGACATCCTTGGGCTCAGCTTTGCCTTCAGAGCACACATACAACAGTCTGCTAGCACTGTATACTTTTTAGAAGTGGTAGGAACATTTGAATTCAGGCCCCATTTGAGCCACACCTGAAGTCTTCTTTTAGAATTAGTTATTTTTCAGATCATGGCTTGCCCTTAAAATTGGGGCTAGCCTCAACCCCAATGCTCCTATACTTATGTGTCTTTCCTACCTAGATGTGAAATTGTTTATTTTAAACTATAGGGCTGGCAACCACAGGCTCCCACTGCTTCTTCCAAGTCTTAATTTCTACTGGCAGTTACTCAATTATTTAATGATGGGTTTATTTAATAAATGGGAAAACAAAGCTGTATTATAAGCACTGTTTCAGGAATGATCAACTAGTTGCTTACTTTCAGAAGCTCAGTTATAGTGGATTATCAAGACAAAAGGAGCATCTATCCTTCTAAACCTTCCTCTAAATTAAATCAGACTGGCAAGGTCTTGAACCTACATTAAGCAATACTGCTAACATCAGCGGTTAGAATTTCCTCTACTGAAATATGCTTCAGGGAAGTTGTAAGCCCTAGCCCTAAGGAATCAATCACTTTTATTACAAAGTTAATGTTCAGCACATAGTCACTTCTCTAAGAGAATGTGTGACAGGTTATCCTTTCTCGGTTCTATTTTGGTTCAAATAATTTGTTTTAATTTCATGAACACAGTAATTGTTTCCTCTCATGTTAGCTATTTAGTAATCTTGTATTGTTTTATTTTTTGAGATTAAACCTCAGTATGTTGTCCAGGCTAGCTTGGTCCTTGCTCAGTAGCTCAGGCT